GCGGCGGGGCGGGGCGGTGGGGAGGGGCCGGGCGGGCTGCCCGGGCCGCGGCCCCCGGCGCCTCAGACCCCGGGGAGCAGCCCCGCCCCGCCCCGCGCCGCCCCAGCGCCCCTTGCCTTCCCGCCCGCTGCTCCCGCTCTTCCCAAAGCAACGAACAGGCACCACCTGCTGGCTAACGGCCTGACGGGGGAACGGCGCTGCTGCCGCCCGCCGAGGGCTTCGGGTGGCGAGCGACCGGGTGGCTGGGTGGGGGATAAATAGGTAAAAGAACACTACCGGGCTCGAGGAGCGGTGCTGGTCGCTGGAGCCTTAGCGTCTGGTGGATCGACCCAGATCAGGGGAAAAGGGCGGTGGGATCGGGAGTGACTGTGCAACGGGAACGCTCTTGTGAGATGTAAATGATGGTTCCCGGACCGCTTGTCACTTCGGGATTTTGAAACATTTTCCCTTTTTTCACGGTAAGAATCTGGGGCTCTTGTGAGAAATGTGTATTGGAATCTATCACACTACCGGTTTCTGTGAGGTGTGGGAGCCATCAATAGCCACGGAACATCACTTAACGTGAATGTCAAAACCAGGTTTTGCCTAGGGTTAAAAATCAACCTCCTGAATGCCATCAGCCCTGGTGTCTATGCCTCATTCTGTGCAGACACTTCCCATTACCCCTGCATGTCAGAGGTGCAGAAAAGATGACTGGGAAACACAGATGTCTTCTGAGGAAAACTCAGATTAAAAAAAAAAAATCAGTTGTGTTTTCTCTAACAGTGCCCACATAAAATGTGTGTTCTCAGTGAAAAAAAATATATAATAAATGAAAGCAAAGAACCCAGAAAGTCAATTCTTGGGATAAAGGGCCATTTTTTGCTTACTTTTTTAGTTTTCAGGTTTTAAAATTTCCAATGAAGAGTTTAATCCAACAAACGAGAAACATTGACTCTTTCAGTGACAATTACTGATTGTGCATCAAAGAAAAAAAAGTTTGGCACAATAGTTTCTCTTGAGCATGGGAGACCTGAGCTATTCTCAGACATGGGTACAGCCCTGGACTCTCCTGAAACTAGTGTCTTATAAAACAAGCATGTTTGCTTTGGGTAGGTTACCTTCCTGAAAGAGCCAGCAGCCCCTGCAGATCAGCACACCACTCTGCATGTCTGCATGTAAAAATGCCTCATACTGAAGGTTTAAATGATATTCATTAAAAACTGAGTTCTGCTGTCAGAAGGATAGTCAGCTAATGAGAAGGTGTTTTCTCTCAGCGAGCATCAGACTTACCCGCATGTAGAATTCCCTGCCCTCGTTCCCTGATTTGATTTGGAAGATGTAATAGGCTCCAGGGTAGCGAGTTGTTGCTTGCATCTGAAAAATGTCAGAAGGCACAGAACGCCCGGACACCATATCCATCACTCTGTACAAGATGGTGAAAGGCTGATCTCTGCAACCGGTGTTTTCAGCTGGACACATGCAGCGGCTAATTGTCAGAGATAGGATTGTCATCAGGGGTTACAAATTCCTGTAATATTTGATTCTTTATATGCAAATACAGCTGCATAAATAAATGAACAAATAATGTTGTCGACCAGCTAAAAGAATCAATGAAACTTGTAATGAATTTTCTCACTTTTAGTATTCTCTGTGTTGCTATTCTGTCCTATCTATATCCCTGCTTTCTTTTGCTTGTCTTCTAGGCCAAAATATCATGGCATCCTTTGTCTCCTTAGATCACTTCAAGATCTGTATTTTCTTTAAAGCAGCTCTGCAGGTGTAGGGTACCTGGTACATGTTTGTTCTGATAGTAATTTAAACTGAACTGTCCCCCAAATAATATTAATTATTGGATCATTTCACTGATGGTGCTACATAAATGTTGTATTATTTTTTTAACAATCTTTTATATACCATATGAAAACATACAGCAAGACATCCTGGATCAAACTGAAGCTCTAGCATTAAATGCAGAGCCCTAAGGAAGATCAGGATAGCAAGCCAAGCATATGACTCTTCCACCAACAGCCTCCAACTGTTTGTGACACAGGAAATTCTTGAAACCAAGATGTCTTCTGTGTATTCATCAGCCCTTAATGCAATTCTTATCCATCAGCTTGTCCAGCCTCCCTTTACACCCACATCAATGTTTGGCATCCACAGCCCCCTGTGGCGAGGAGCTCCGCAGCTCCCTTCACCTCTCTCTGCACTGCCCCTTGCTGACTTCATCTGATGCTCCCAGCTCTTCTATTGAAAGGAGAGCAGCCACTCAATCCCTGCTCATTCTCCTCACACAACTCAGGGTTTCATATTTGACTCTGTTCATGGCTGAAGGGTCCTAACTTAGTTGTTTCTCACAAGGAAGCTATGCCATACTTTTGATCATCCTCACTGCTCTTTATGAACCTTTGTCCAGTTATATTTCTTTTGAGAGGAGGGGAAGGAACTGCATAGTCTTGAAGACATGGGTGCACAATGGCACATGCTCTAAGGATATTCTCTACCTAATATTAACACCTCAAATTCAGATTGTTTTTCTGACCTCTAGTGAGTACTGCAGATCATGGAACTACCTATAATAACCCTCAAATCTCAGTTTGGACAGATTATGATCAGATCAGTGCTCTTTATTTAATTTGTAAATTTGGGATTGTCTTTTTACTTTACATTCATCTACACTGAATTTCATCTGCCATTTTTATTGCACAGTCATTGGGGCTCCTTCTGTAATTCTTTTCTGCCCATCCTTTTCTCTACTGTTCCCAGATACTGTTGCAGACTTTGCCCATCTCATGGTTTATCCTTTTTCCCGGGTTGCTTACAAACATGTTGGACAAGTAGGTCCAGCTCAGACTTCTGCAGAACTTCACTGTGAAAGCTGCTAATTTAATACTATGTTTATTTTTTATCTTCCAACCTCTTATTCTTGTGTGCCAGGGACTTTATTCTTACTTATGGCTGCTTGATTTCCGTATTAACATTTTGTGAGGTTCTTTTGAGAAGACTTTGGAAACCCAAACAGACTGCATCAGCCCATGTGCCCTAGCCACATGCTGCTGATTTCTTCAGAGAACTCTAATAAAGTTGTGAGGCAGGATGTCCATTTCTAAAAGGCATACTGGGGAATTTACTAGAAAAAGAGTTGGGTCTTTTTGCGTATTTTTTCTATAACCTCCACTACTGACACCAATTTGAGACAGTGGGGCATGTCCCCATCTGGCATGTCCCCCATAAAAAGGCTCCTAGCATTACAAACACCTAGTTCCTTCCACAGAAAACACAGATACAAGGAATTCACTTGGCTTTTATACTGACCACTTCTAGACATGTGCCACAAATTAAATGCAGTCACATCTAGACATGAGCCAAAGCCACCAAACACAAAGCTCAGAGATCAAGAGTTCTGGTGCAAGCTGATCTGCGAGGACTTTATAGTCGGGCTCCGAGGAATTTAGATACAGAAGCTTCAGATATTTCAAATTCCAGTTTAAGACTACCACCTCTGAAGGTAGGTAAACCCAGAACAGGAAGAACAGAACGTGTCCACTCCTCAACTGCCCTAGTTCAGAAAGCAATGTAAAGACATGAGTAAATTCTAATGGAAAGAAGCTGATTCTTCATCTCTTGCCTTTGTATAAAATACCAAGGAATCCCAAGTAATTGGCTTTAGTGCAAACACTATGGATGAAATACTATGGGCTGGAATATATAGAGATCTGTCTGGAGCTGAAATATTTTGAGCCCCAGGCAAATACCTACAAAATCGTAAAAGAAACAGTCAGTTTTTAGAAATGTGGGATTTATTTTTTTGCTTGCTCAAATAATGCCAAATTTAGACAGTAACAGTGCTAACAGCCCCATCCAGACATACCCAATTTCTGGACAAGGCAAATCAGTCTGTGGACTTTTCAGCACTTTTAAACTTTAAGCAGTAGGAAACTATTTGTATCCTACTATGACTATCATCTAATATTTTAAAGTACTTCCCAGACATAAGCTAGTTAATATTTACAGAAAATACTCATACTAATAAACAGGCTGCATTTGAGCATATATGAAGTCAGTTAGTAATGTAAGTAAATGTCTCTTATTACATTACAAACCTTGCTGTTTTCTCCACTCACTGATAAGTGTTTTTCCAGTCTAACTTCCCACACATCTGAGTATCGTATCATATCATATCATATCATATCATATCATATCATATCATATCATATCATATCATATCATATCATATCCCACCTGGTGACCTAGTAAGGAATTGCAATTTATTATTTTTATAAAGCTTACCAATGGTAAATGCAGCAACAGCATGTATGTATAGCTCTCTAGACACACTTCATGTCTGTGTTGTAAAAATGCAGCTTATTTCGTTCACTCTAGGTACGTTTCACACAGATAGAATTTGCTTTTGTGGCTGTGGGTATGTTACTCACTTTTCATTAATCTGGATATAAGGATCCTCGCATCTTACTGGGTCTAAACATTTATATTCTCCTGGGATATTGAAACACGTTTGCTGCAGAGTGCAGGTGAAGTTTCTGGTTTCACATTCATTGATATCTAAAACATAAGAAACAAGAGAAAGGCTAAAGCAGGGAAACATGTGCAAGACACCACTCTTACAAACTGGTTTCCATCTTAAGGAATTGCCCCAGAATTCATAACACTCTTGCACTATAAGAAGTGGCCTTTTGATAACTGGCCTCCCTTTTAAGACCAGTTTTTCCCCATTCATTTCTGCTTATTGGAGAGCTCCCATATGCTAAGTGCTGCAAAAATAGAGAAGAAATTGGCTGCTCAAGCTGTCTGACCTTAGAGAATGGTAAAACTAGAGAGAGATGTGCAGCAGAGAGGAGAGCATCTGAGGGCTTTCCTGTGTAGCTGTTTCCTAGTCAGCAAAGTCTTACTTACACCAATTCACCTCAGTGGGACTATTCACATGATGACATTCTTACCAGAATTACATAATTGGCCCTTACGAGTATTTCACTGTGCAATGCCAAGACCAAGCATTCTAAATTCTTGAAAACCTCTTTCCAGACACAGGACCTATTTTCTGGTCCCCTTGGGTTTTAATCAGCACAGGAATGTTCTTACCTTGGCAGCTTCTGCTATCGTCAAGCAAGTTATAGCCCGAAGGACAGATACAGTAGTAAGAACCAGGCCCATTCACACATTCGTGCTGGCAGAGGAACTCTGAGAAGCTGCATTCATCCATGTCTGCAGTGGTAAAACAAAAGTTTAGTGTCTTTGGCTTTACAGTCAAAAGAGCAGTCCCACAGGCAGGTGGCCATCCAGACTACGTGCCCATCACCCCAGCTGGAGGTTGGCACCCTCCAGCTCCCTAGAGCTCTGCAGCAACCTGGCAAAATGCTATACAACAAGTTCTTGGTTAAACATTTTTCTCCTAGGGAAACCAAAGCTGCTGCTGAACACAATGTGTGGCTTTTATTTATTTATTTTTCTTTTCGAATACCTGTCACCAGTTGGCCATGTTTTCAGTTCTGTTTTACGTCAGAGATAGAACTACTCCAACAACAAAGCTGCAACTATAATTTGAAAGGAGAGACTTGGCAGTGGTTTTCTTTTATTTTTTTCCCTTTTTTTCTGGAGAGAAAACTTCCCTTTCCCAGGGCCACATGGGTCCCAGCAGAACTCCTGCAGCCAGCCCTGGCTGTTTTATCTTTCTTAGTCTCTAGCCAGTTAATTCCAAGGCATTCCAGCAAGACTACAGAGCTCATCCCAGCTTGGGTCAGACCTACTAGAAGGCCCAGCCATCTCCCAGATACCCAGGAAGCTAAGCAGTCTGTCAAATCTCTGACTGAAAGCAGAAATTTTCCTCTTTTCCCCTTGCACTCATGAATTGACCAGTCATTGTATTCTGCAGAACTGCGCTCAAGCAAGAGAGACGAACTTCAGAGCTGCGCGTGGAGGCATAGCTGAGGAGGGGAACACACATGCAAAGGCGCTAGACTGAGGGAGGCTGCAGTTAATCATTTCCTCATTTCCCTGTTCAGGGGAAGAAAGAAACAAAGGCCAGAGCCCAGCCAGGAACTCCCAAGTTTTTATTCCCAGCTCTGACATTTTGACTCTCCCAGGCAAATCACTTTTACTCTTCAGACTGAATTTCCCTTTCTTCTAATTTGGGCTCAGTCCATTTATACACTTTTGGTGTTTTGTGCAGATGAATTGGAAAGTATTTGAAGTCCAAATATGTTAAAGTGGCTTTATGGCTGCAACCACATTAAAAGGGAGATGAAAGGAACTCTACACCTACATAGTCCTGTTGTGTGACTTGCCCCAGCGAGTTCACTGAAAAAAACACCCTCCTGACAAAACATGGACCGAGGGCTGACTCCATAAAGGGACCAAGATATCACCCGCTCCCTCGAAGTGTCCTAGCCCAGACCTCCAGCACACTGGATTCATATAACCTGTGCTTAGCTGTTGTCAGGTGCTGGAGGGATTTAAAGCCCCGATGGTCCTACATTTCTGCTGCTGAGCCCACACAGGACAGACACATTTTTGCTGTTCCTAAAGACTTCTTGCATTCTGCTGACTACCTGTGGAGGACAAGATGGTAGGCATTTCAGAGCACATCTAATGCACGTGCAAAATCTCTGAGATCAGAAAATAATGCCGATGTTGAGAAAGCCAGGTTGAAATCTCTGCCTCTCTCCTTGAATTGGGGCAGGGATCCCTCCCGTCTTCAAGGTAAGCTGGCTGTTAGGCCATGGACTAATCCAGTGGCTGTTGAAGTACATCTGGATCCTGGGTGTCTCATAGGAGTGTCCTCCTAACCTGGCATTCGCTTTGCGAGCCTCAGCAATGTGTAGTGATTGCTTGTGAAGTGAAAGAAGCTCATCCAGAGAAATTTGACCTGCTTTGACAAGCATTTTCTTGCACAGAATTGCCCATAAAAGGTTTTCTGCTCTAAATCTGGGTGGTGGAAATTCCCTTTTGCTGGCTTAACTCAGATGTGAATGAGGCTCAAGCACCATCTCTTCTGTCACCATTTTGTACTGGCAGTGTTTATGTGGCATTGCATTGAACTTAACTGGTTCAGGCCCCCAACTAGCTCAGGAGCACATAAAATGGTGCAGGAGTCTAACTTAGAAGCAGAAACTCCATTAGAAAGCAGCAAACTTAAGTTAGGTGTTGCAGCTCTAAATGTTAAATGCATGAGACCCTTTAGAGATTTAAGTCTTTGTTCTTTCCCTTATAATAAGGAGGTTTGCAGGGAAAAACAGCTTTGGAAACATGAATCTATACACATACTGCATATCATATGTCTCCTCTCTCAGAAACAGCATGTTACATCTGTTTACTGTAAATTAAAAAACAAGTATTTTCCAGTGTGTTTTTCCTTCCAAGAAATATTGGCTGGATTTTCTAATTTTATCAGACTGTGGGAACATTAAGCACAGAAATAAGTTTTGCCTTCAATTAAAATAAAGCAATAAAATAAAAACAAAAACAAGACAGGAAAAAGTAAAGTGACATAAGCACAGTTTCTTCTGCTATGTGCTGAACAGATTAGCAATAGCTGTACTCAGAAACCATATATTGTTTCTGAAGTGTAGCCAGAGCTATACAGGGGAAACAGGAAGGTTTCAGGCAGAAGAGTGCAGTAATAAGAGCAAGAGGAATACATGCATTCAACAGACAAATGGAAAAGTGCTTTATGTAAAGTATTTCTTTAATCATGGAAGAATGTTCTAGGACTATCCCTACTTTATTTGCTCTAATAAAGCTTCCTGTTCGGCATTACAAAGTGTTTTCTTATGTTTTGCTGTTATCTTGGAGCTTTTTAATATTTAGCTTATTTCTTTAAAACCATTTGCAGCCCTCCTCCATTGTGCTTTTCTGGGTATTTGCCGTGTGCTTTAACTGAAAAGATCATATGAGTTGAAGCTATCCTGCTACTAACCATGGACCAAGGCAAAAAACTTTTTAAAAAGCATGTACAAAACAATACATTGGAAAAAGAAAACTTAAAGTAAAGTAACCAAAAAGAAAACTGAAAGAAACCAAGACAATAAATAACTAGTTACCACTGCAGTTTACTCCATCAGCTTCCAGTTCATAGCCAGGTTCACAGCGGCAGAGAAAAGAGCCGTAGGTATTGACGCAGGTCTGAGTGCAAGGGTTTTCGTTTGTACATTCATTCACATCTACGGGAAACCAATGCCCAATGCATCAGTGACTTCTCCCCAAACCTTATTTTCAATTCATTACTGTAAAGTATTTCAAAGAGATTAGCTGTACAGTCAGAATGATTTGTTCTGAAAAAATATAAGCAAGTCAGTATTCTTTATCGGGATTCAGGCTGATGCCTGGAAATAGCATGTTGGAAACATGACATGCATGGAAATGAAGCATTTTGGGAATGTCTTCAATCAAAAAAATAACATGGAAGACGGGGATGAAATATTTATGACAAATGCTTCTGTCTTTATCCTGCAATTTTAAAACCATTGAACTGATTTTGCCATAACAGACCAAACACAAAATGCAGCAGGATATTCCTGAGGAAGATAATGCAGTGGAGGAATGGTCCTCATGGAAACCTAGGGCTAAGACAAAAGCAATTTTTTTTTTCCTTTTAGGACATTAGCAGCTTCTGGACATCATTAACACAGACCATTTCCTGCAGCATGTGGGAAGAGGCTCCTTGCTTATCTTGGGAGAGGCTTTATGAAGAGGTTGTGTTGACTTTCACTGAGGTAGCACATCACAGCAAAAGGTGGTCTAATGCTCAGGGCCCTAGTCTGGAACTTGGGAGACTCAGACCTAATTTACTGCTCTGACAGAGTTTTCCTGTCTCACATGGGTCACACAGCCTCAGATTTTAAAAGTAAATTCAGTGCCTAAAGTCTTGGTAATTTCAGTGAATTGAGTAACTATATTTTCAGGGGCTTGGTCCTCTGTGCATATTTCTCCTAATACACTGGTCATGTTGCACCTGTACCCCTCCGAGGTACTGTGAAACTACAGAAATATCTCAGGCTGACAAACCTATGAAGGTTTTCAAAAGCAGTGTTGGGAATGTTACTTGTATTCTAAAAACTAAACAAGTTTTAAGGGTGTTGCTGGGTTGGGACCAAAGATTTCAGTCATAGTTTACCATACACAGTACCTTGGCATGATCTTCCGTCATCATTAAGGGTAAAGCCTGGGTTGCACGTACAGGAGTAGGAACCGGGCACATTGGCACACAGTTGCTGGCAGTAGCCGTAGCGACATTCATCTATATCTATAGATGGGAAAGATGAAAAGTAGAGTGGTCTGCATTTTCACGTGCAGGTGCAAAGCAGCAAACACACTGAGTCAACAGTACCAATAACACAGAAATAACCCAGCATACTGGTTACAGATATAACAGCCAAACTTCCAGGTGTTCAGACCCAGAGTTATAGTTAACATACATCTCTACCCAGAAGAATGTAGTAATGTGTTTTTACCCACAGCTGACATCTATTAGTATGTCCTATGAACTGACTGTCTGTCATTGCTGTAATCTTCAGCTTAATGTGACCTCATCAGGAAGCCCAGAGTCAGTCCCTTTAAGCAGCTAACTTGAGGTATACCTGATAGCTGGCCTAGCCCATCAGCTCAAGCACAGCCAATGTTGTAGCAAAGTTTTGTCAGAATCAAGACAGAAACATTTTTTACCTCCACAAAGCTAGTCACTAGAAAAGAAATAAGTATTTCTTACTAAATACTTCTTTTTTTAGAGAGGGTATTCTTTAAAGACTTTTTTCCGAATAGTCACATTCACATTTTATATTAATTTTTAACTGACAAGTTATAGACTCTAAAATGTAAACAGTAGATTTAGTGCCAAAATAGAAGTTTGGGCTGAATTGCAGCATTAGCAATACATGCGACTCACTGTTATAAGCACAAGAAAATGCTGTAAGATATGTATGATGGCAAGTGCTAGAAGAATTTTGCCCCTGGACTAAAAACTGGAATGAAACACCTGGAGTGGCTGACCTTTCCAAGGCTTTACATTTCCTTTGGTATCAACTGGCTTTTGATTTATGGAGATTTTTATAAACGGCTACTCTCAAAGCTTTGAAGTTAAGTTTGTTCAGTAGAAAACCAAGTATATTATCTCCAGTCAGTGTGCCAGGACCAAAGCAGGAAGGCACAGATTTTGGTGAAATGACACCCACCGCAGGTTCCAACGCACGTGAAAATCAAAATGACGGTATTCTCCCTATGGTTCACATGTGTGTATATACATATATCTGCATGAATTCCAGCAGTTTATTATTTGTTAGCTAAATTGGCTGCTTCCTGGTTTAGTGTTAAATATTAAGAATGTGTTGGGAAACTGAATTCCTGAACAACTTGAACATTTTCATGATGTGGTAATACCATAAAAACAACAATGTTGTGAATCTGCTGTATAAGTAGCTACATCCTGCACTTCAAGTTTATGTTGTTGGCCTCACTGGGACAGTTTTGCTATAGAAAGTCTCAGGAAACCATTCTGAAAATGTCAAAAGTCTTGGAAATACTCTCTCTGTGTACAATAACAAGGACACTGACACTCAGTTTTACCCTTACTAGCTGTTATTTCCCACTGCATTCTAAATAGCAGGATAACCTAAAGGCCAGGGTCAGCTATGGTATGTACCCCAGCAGTAGGCTTGGCCCAAAGTGAGATGGGTTTTAAGTAAATTAATACCTCATTTCACTGACACAATTTTAAATACATGCTTTGGCTTTTGCAGGACTCTTATGTCAAGAGCGCTACATTTTGAGGATACGGACTTTTACAGGGCTGCTTCTTGTGGGAGGGTCATGTGGATAGTGCTGTACTGGCTCCTCCTGTATAAACTTCACTGGGATAATTACAGCAGATAGAAGTGTAGCTCTTTGTAACTGTGGTTTACTACCAGTGCGCCGAAAAAGCCCATCTCTAAAACCCAACCCAGCTCCCTGGTTACGGTGAATGGTTTTTACTGCTATATGCCAGCAAAAATCACTTCTCCAAGGCCAGTGGAAAGTACGGAAAACTGAGACTTTTTTGATACTTAGGGAAAAATATAGCAACTCTAAACACAATTTGCTTTTAGCCCTTTGCATTGCCTTATAATAATCTACCCCATGATTACTTTAAGTGTGCAAGACTGGGATGTTATCGCCTATTTTAAATAGCATAAGCAGATACTCGAATCAATTCAGCAATGCAGCCATTTCAGTTCTCTGGTATATCCATCAAGCAGTAAAGTACTTTAGATCCATGTCCAAATCCTGAATGCTGCACACAACCCTTTCATTTGGGCTGTAACTGGGAGAAGAAAATGGGTGACAAAACAGGTGATGCAGAGCAGAATCCCCCTCCCTGCCCTCCTCATCCCCACCCTGTCACGTACACGTGTACAACACCCAGCACAAGCTTTTTTTCCCAAGAGAAGAAGAATTATCAACGATTAAGGAGCAGGGGGCTTGGAGACTTCATATCCCAGGGGAACTACAAGACAGTGACTCCCCAAAGCAGCTATGGCTGCACAGAGCCCAGCTTGGACGAGGCTCAGCTCTGTCCCTGCCAGGTGAGTTACACAGCAGCTGTTTGCAGTAGTTAGGAAAACAGCCGTGAGTCAGTCCTTCACTGGAATTGGTACTTGGGAGGAGAAAGTTGGAAAATAACTGGAGAGGCTCCAGGGATGAATGGGCAGGGAAAGCCCATTCTCCTTCCAGCAGAGATGTTGTGACAGGACAGTCCAGCTCTGCAGAGCTGGCAAGCAAACAGCCTGCACTGAGGGGAAAAAAATAATAATAAGCAAACTAAAAAAAAAAAGTTTTCTCCTATCTCCTAGGTCCTACCTCTGTACCTAAAATTAACATCTACTTCATCATCCCATGGGCATGTCAAGTGAGGGGAATGGGCTGGAGGAGAGGGGAGCTGGAAGGTTTTCCTGTGCTGTTTGTTGAGGGGTGGTTTTTTCCAACAGGGCTGAGCTAAAAGGATGAACAGGACATTGCAGCAAGGAAAATAACAAAATTGAAATAAAACTGCTTGGAAGATACCGAAACGGCACCCAGTTCAGAGATAATGTTTTTCTCACCCCCAAGCAAAAGGGTTGGTTGAATCTAGGGATTTGCTCCCTGTTTCTTGGTATCAAATACTGATCCCTTTGGGTCCACACTGCCACATTGTGGAAAGGACAGGTCTATTTGGGAATAAATCTTTTTGTATACATGCTTGTGGTTGACCTTATATGAAAGGGAATCCTTCAGACTGGGAATATGAAAATCCCACATGTTACATGGATAGTCATATGGTATTTACATGTATATTTTTGTTCCATGAGGGAGTTTCTCTGCCAAGCATACCATTGGCATTTAACAAAGATGAAGGACAGTTTCCATGTAGCTGAAGGTTTAACCATTACTTGACAAAGATGCTCAGTGACATTATTTCAGCTATTCACGGGTACACATACACAGATGCTCAAATACCATATCGCATGAGGTTTTTACCTAAACACTGGCCTTCTAACAGCCAGTAGCCTTCAGTGCAGGAACAGGTATAGCCCCCCTCAGTATTTATGCAGATCTGGGTGGGGTTACACTGGTGGGAATCTGAAGCGCATTCATCCACATCTGCAACACAGAAATACAGCAAGAAAATATTAGAAATGACAACAAAAGATTGTTCACACTGTACAGGGACTTGCACTCACAATGTGTACACCAGCTCCATGCAAGGAACCAAAGTGTGGTGGAGTAGAGAGAATGACCATAACCTGAAGTAAAATTCATGAAAATAAACGTCTGGGGACAGTGAGAACTCAAGGTGCTCATCAGATCTCTCTTGCAGATGACCAGTGTTTCTCAGAGCTCCTCAGGAAAGGGATTGCGTTACCTTGAGCTTTTTACTACTTCCACATTTGCTTTGTCACTGAATTGGGATTTCCATGCTACAGGGCAGTGTTCAGCCCTAGGAAAAAGCTGCTGAAAGGGCTATATAACCCCACTGCCAAGTAAGAGATGAACGGGAGTTTGAGAGGTGTACAAACACAACTCAGACATATAAAAAAAATTACTTCCTACCCCCACCAATGCAGATTATCTCACTGTAATTTTTCTGAGAGAAGGTTCAACTAAAATCAACCTTAACCTGACAATAAAAATGTATACTTCCCTGGAATCAATTTCCTGACAATAAAACTCTTTTCTTTTAAAAATTTTTTTACCATCTTTATTGTTTTTAATGTATTTGAGTTTTTATTACAATCCCTTAGGGTGTTTTTGTTGGGGGGGGGGGGGGTGGGGTTTTTTTGTTGTTGTTGGTTTTTTTTTTTGCAAAGGAGGTGAATAGCATTCCTACATTTATATAAGCCAGGACCCTGGAACCTGATTAAAAATGCCTTTCAGAGTCAGAAGTTCAATTTGAATCCCTGCTTGCTCAATCTCTTCCCTGATGTTTCTGGCATCGGGTTTGCCTCTAGATGTCAGAAGTGGAAATATCAGAAGATAAATTGTGTCATTTTTTCAGCCTACTCAGATTTCTATGTTTTATTTATTGATACCTAAACTATTTTTTATTCCAGCATACTGTGCACTGGCCTTTGCTGAAGTACTATGTCATCCAAGCAATGCTACTCTCTTGATCCTCCCTGATTCTTATTAACCCAGACTTTGTTGGGTCATGACTGAAACAAACGCACTGGGCTGGAGCAGGCAGCAGAGGGCAGGAATTACATCTCAGTATCTGCGCCTGAGGCACCTAGCACAGCCAGTTGGCCGTAAAATCCCAGAAGTCATGAAATAACTGATCCAATCTACCACAGCGGCAAATCTAACGTGTTCAGATATATAAATAATTACACACATATTACATATATGGAGAGAGTCTAGAGTTCTTAGTCTTGCCAACATCCGTACTGGAGCAATTGATGGTGAGTCAAAGCTGGTAAGATAACAAGAATGGCACAGTTAGAGGTAATTAACTCTGTCCGAAATCAGTTCCCACGTATTTATTGGACAGATGAAGGTTGGCAAAATGGTGGGGGAAGTGGGAAAGGGGTAACAAGTCTAGACTATATATGTAGATAGATAAGTTGTTCAGTTCAGCTATTGCTTCTGCGATTGGGCTAAAAATTCTGGTTCCTTCCTTCATACAGCATATCACACATAATTGGTAGTATTTGAACACAGATTTTATCTAACCATAAATTTAATAAGAATGACATTAATGTTTTGTAAATGAAAAAGCTTTCTATTTGTCATGTTTGCTTATTGTTTTAGGAGTGGAACCTTGGGGTCTGGCCAATTCTGCTGTTTCTAGCCTACCCCAAGCTTAAAAAGGAGATTTTTCATTTTCTATGCTCCCTGCTTCCAGTGATATTAATAAGTGAAGCAAAGTGGAGACAAAATGAACATCAGCGTCTTACCACCACATATGGTAACAATCCTGTTTGAAGACTATAGATCCTCTACTCTTCTGTGGTGCATCTTTCTTGCAGGGGTACAACATGCATCCTTCACCAAAAGCAAAGGCTAGCTACAGAATCAGTTTTGTTCCCAAGTCATCTTTGTAGCAGTTGAACGAGCAGCAAGCAGTACAATCACTCCAGAAAAGTAAGACATTGATCCTCCTTTCTTTGCTATCTACCGAGGAGATTTCTTTGCTTACTCCCAGTCTTCAGCCTTTGTGGTGGTACTGGAGATGTATTTCCATTTGAATGCAAAATTTTTTACAACGGAGGCTACCTATGGAGTCCCTGCTGTCCCTAGAAAACCTGATCAACCTGAAGTTGTCTATGCAGAACACCTTGGCTCCCCGCGTTTTACACTGACTTCATTAATGAAGTTTTATGCAACCAACAGGTCTAAACAGCTTTACTGGTCACACCAAATCTTTTTGCTTGGGCCTGAGCACACACACACATTTCTATATTACATGTCCCCAGCTTTCTTTAAGATTGTCCCTTACCATGACGTGCCATTAAACTCTGACAGACCCAGCCAATGCAATCAAATCAATTATTTTTGGCAAGCAGCCTTTTCAGTTCAAACAGGTAGTATAATCCCAGCCTGTCTGCCAGAGGTTATTTACATTACATGGGCTCACTAAGTGAAAGCTGATATTTGCACACTAAGAAAACTGTCAGTGCAACAATTGGCTGAACATTAGGTATCCTCTTGAAGAGTATCAGAGCTGGGAGACAAAGGGTGCCTTGCCCAATCCATTTACACAGTGCAGCATTCAGTGAGAACTGGTGTGGTTGACAAAGACAAAACTAGACATTTGACCCAGAAAGGGAAAAAAAAAAAAAATTCCACCGGGGAGAAAACTAGCCATAAAACTTTGAGAGATTGCCTGTAATGGATTCACTAGACCTAAGTGCCAGCATAGAAACTATATCAAAACACTCCCAGGGCATTTTTGGTTGAGTGGAAAACTGCAGGTGGAAACAACCTGACAGCTAGTCAATAATGTGTAAATAATTTCTTATTCTGGTTGCACAGTTTATTTCTGCCCATTCAAACATAAATCTTATGTGGATTCATGCCCTGGAAGTATCACTTCAAAGCTCATTCATACCACCTCTGCCCTTGTGATGGGTCATACACAATACTAGAGTAAAACTGTGATGCTAAGTGTACATGATACTAAGTTGTCAGTGGTTTTGTAGGTTCAAAGCAGATAAGACAAAAAATTGTAAGGACTACTCAATACAAGGATAGCACATGTGTCTACAAAGTCCCTGAGATGCAGTTTTCTGGAGCCTGGAAGTATGCCTCTGACCTGGCATAACTTGTGTTGCAGTCTTCACCATGGAAAGAAATACCGCAGTGAACTGTCTGAGCCACAAAGTCTAACCAGCTAGAGAGCAGAAGAGTTACTGAAGTGAAGCAGGCTAGCAAGAAACCCTGGAAACCCTACTGCCCCCCATTCAAGGTGTTAATAGACTGTGATATTTGATGATTTCAGCATCAGTACCATGAAAGTATCAGATGGTGTCACCCATCACTGATATCCAAGGATGGTTTTCATTATACTGAACCCGCTTTTAGTACCTTTCATCACCAAGATCCTTAGAAAGCATTACTTGCATCCTGAGAACAAGTCTAGGTTTTACTAATAGATAGCGTTATTGAATAACTCTTCTGTGATTTTGGCTAGATTGCTCAGTATGTGGCTACAAGAAGAATTGCCATGAGGTGAACTAGGAAGCAAATATGAACTAGATCTGTCCTCAGTGAAAACAGGCTAAGGTACCTGGTAGTTACTATACAGGACAAGGAACCGGCACAGCGGCAGTAACCATGCTGTAACTCATGTGCTCAGAATTTACCCTGTGGGAACTCATCCTTGCTCTTCATCTTCTACAGCCCTGCTTCCTATTTGAAAAATGGGGATAACAAAATCTCTGTCGTAGTCTGGCCTCCCTCACTGTTTAGCATCTAAAACTATTCAGGGCAGGGCCTGTCCTCTTATATACAGAGCCAGTTCACAATTAGTCCATTTTTATTTGAAGCCTTCCAATCCTAATACAAATCAAACTGTACTACAAACCCCTGTAATGTTCCAGCTGCTAATAAATACCAGTGCCCCTGGCTTTTAACCAGGAAATTCAAGACTACGGAATTAAAGGACTAGCCTGTGACCACTGAACAAGACAGCAGCAAGAACAAGTCACAGACGTTTCTGACTTGGAGTCCTTCATGTAGCCCAATACAACCTGTTCCTATTATATGAACGCTTAAAGATGCACCTTTTTCAGAAATTTTGTGCAGCCTCTACGTTAGCTAATGAGATCTAAAGTAAAAGATTAACCATCATTCTGAAAGCATTATGTTCTACTAGGAGACCTCAGAGGCATCAAAGGCTTTTTCAGCTAAACTCTATGCTATTCACAATGTTATTGTTCTACCCTAATGGTACATTGAACCTCAAAGTTTTCAGTAGTTACTGAAAGAGAGAGAGAACTATTGACAAAGTCAGTGGCAAATTGAAAGAGTTATCTAGCTACCACACCTCTCCTTACCCTTACAGGCAGGACTGGGACTGTTGCTGTGAAATTACATATGAAAACAAGAGGATGTTAAAGACTGTCATACCTAATCATTTTGAGTAAGTCCAAATTTTCCCAAGTGACTAGTGACTCTGAGTGATGCCTTAGAGGTTCCTGATTTTGAGAAAGCAGCTGTTCAGCACTTAAAACCACACTAAAGAACCAAGGCAGGGCAGGACAGATCCCTGTTCAATAGTTCTCTTGCCAGGGAGTGCTTGGCCAACACTGGCCCTGGATGTCTTGGCTCTTGATTATGCTGCTGTGTGCTATCAAATTAGCAGTCATCTATATTCTCTCATCCATCCTTCCAGTTGTTGTGTTCACATTACTGCTCCCACAGCTACTTCCAAGGGCAGAAGTTCAGGCAGAAGTCCAGACTGAAATTAAAATTTGACCTGAAGTGGAAACAGTTCACTTTGTTACTTCCCAACTGAATACTGAGAGCAACCAGATGGCCCATCCAGACCACCTCTCTCTGCCTCCTAAGAAATACCACCTAGAACAAACACAGTCTCATGGATTGAAACCATGAGTTTTAAAGATCTTTGATTTACTGACTGAACGAGAGAATAGGTAGGC